CATCGTTAGTTTATAAGTTACCGAATTTATCAAACACTATGGGATTGCAATCCACTTGGATTATGTTGGGGGAGAAATCGAGCCCAATCTAGAGTTGATGGGCCTTAAACAGAAGTTAAGAATCAATTTTAACCCAAAAGTTATAGCTACCACGTATTGACCCAAACTCCTATTTAAACTCATAACTCTTTCTTATCTTATCCGATGTGGGACTATACTCACATATTAATCACCTCAACAACTCTCCATTAATTTGTGAGCATATTTTAATTCAACTATAATTCAGTTTTCCACGGAATTCACTAAGTTTTTGCACCACTTCACTCGTGGGCTAACTTCCACCACTTTACTTATGGTGGCTAACTAGGCTATATCACTCCTACGGGCATCCGTGGATTCTCCCGACACCTTCGGGCTTCATATCGAAAATCATTTATTTTTTTAAATTACTTGGAACACGACATTATCACTGATACCATTGTTGGAGGAGAAATCGGGCCCAATATAGAATTGATGGGCTTAAACAGAAGTTAGAAATTAATTTTAACCCCAAAACTATAGCTATTAGCTATTGACTCAAACTCTTATTTTAAACACATCACTCTTTTTTATCTTATTCTATATGGGACTATACTCACATGTTAATCACCTCAACAGGTTATACTCCATTATAATCCAAGTATGCTACATTTGAAAGATGCCAACATGATCTGAAAATATTTGTGGGGAGAGTTGAAGGCTATAGTTCTGAGTGTAATTCGCGTGTGTGGTTAGTTTTTTATTTATTTAAATTAGGGGACTAAATCATAAGAGTCATCAACTACATTCCTACATGTTAAAGCAACATCTCTCTCTCTCTCTCTCTCTCTCTCTCTCTCTCTCTCTCTCTCTCTCTCCATCCTCCTCCTCCTTTTCTATCCATTTTCAGAAATAAGCATAGCAATTAACCAAATTACAGAAAGAGCTACTTTCTCCTCTCCCAGTAACAACATTGAGTAGTTTGGTAAAATAGTTTTGATGAATTATTTACGATACTCCATCTTAATTAGTTTTTCCCCCCACCTTCTGTTCGATAATCAATCAAACAGTATTGTTGTTGGCTGCTCTCTATCTCGAGATGACGAAATATAAAGGTGAGAGAGGCTTGACAAACGCTTAACAGACACAGAGGACCGGGTGTTAATTATACTAATTATACTCCAAAAAAAAAAAAAAAACACACACACTGAAAGCATGCAAAGCTTTAAATGCCTGTGATACATCTTAGATAATATTTATATCCACTAAGAAATTATTAACAAGGGACAGCTTTATGCCATAGTATTAATTATAGACACATCTCATGCGTATATGTAATGTTACGTTCATCGTGAATTTAGATGAATTTAAGACAAATATCAGATGGTCCCAAAATTAAATGATTGTTCGAAATTAATTAGACTTGCGTGAAGAGGAGCTCGGTGATAATTTATTTTGAGTTTGCTACAGGGACCCAAAATATGGGACCAATAAAGGGGACAAGTGAGGTGTCCCCCTCCTATTGGATAATGAGTTGGCCATCATTAATGATGACCAACTCATTATCCAATAGGAGGGGAACACCTCACTTGTCCCCTTTATTGGTCCCATATTTTGGGTCCTTAAAGAATTTTTCATTTATTTTGAATCACAAATACGAGAATTAATGGCTACAATATTTCACATAGGACTTGATGATAATTATACTAGGGGAAAAAATACAATATCAAAGTTAGGTAATAAAATTCCGAGTTTTGTTATAGGGACCCAAAATATGGGATCAATAGAGGGGGAAAGTGTGGTGTCCTGGATAATGAGTTGACCATCATTAATGATGACCAACTCATTATCTAATAGGAGGGGGACACCACACCTGTCCCCCCTATTGGTCCCATATTTTGGATCCTTAGAACTATAAATTTTAGAAAGTGATTTTTCCAATGTAAAACAATAAACAAAGAGGATCAAAATTCTACTTGGGCTTTATTTATAATTTAGAGACAAAGCCGTGGCTCCTCGGATCTGCCACTCAGACAGCAGTACGTGCATTAGAGAGCAAGTGACAGGCTCGCACTCAACTACAAAACTACGTACACCCACAAGTCATCATCCATAAATTATTAAATAATAATAGCTAGGGTGCGCTTAAAAAACAATGAGATCGAATTTTAGATAATGATTTAATTGAGGTGAAGAGTCAACTCGGAGACGCCGAGTGCTGATTTGGTTCCCATGCATGTCATAAATGTTCAATGTGTATAATATTGTGCTAGTATCTAAATATCTAATAGCTAATCGAGACGAGAAACTTAGCTTTCAAACGGATGGATGGATTCTCATTACCGCATCCACGGTACGCAAAGTATTATTACAACACTCGTTAACTAATAAATAAATAAACGAATGCCTCCTTTGGTTAGGGGGCCAATCTTCAGCTTACTTGTACAGCTCAGCTGTAAGCTAGCACTGGATGCGGATTCTCTTGGGGTCCGTTTGGCAAAGGGTTAATGAAAGAGGGATTAAGAAGAAGGATTAACATAGTTAGATCATTCGATAATCCGAAGGACTAAATTATTAACCTGTTATATAAGTTTTATTTTAGTCCTTATGATTAGTTTTAGTGTTTGGGAATAACAATGATTTTGACTATTTTCTTTATAATTAGAAGAGTTAACTCTTTTTTTGAGCTGAAAAACAGGGACAAAGCCCTGCTCATATATTATAACAGCACTAAGTATAAGATGATTACAAAATAGACACAGGAAGCTATACCCAAAAAAAACAAAAACCCAAAAACACCGAAGTTAACATGAGCTACGGGAACAGAGAGAGCATAGGGAGATAAGGAGCGGACCTAGTCGTCACCAATCAACCCTATAACTAGAAGAGTTAACTCTTAATCCTTCTAAATAGGAGTATTAATAAACCCTTCATTTTGAGAGGTTAACTCATTTTAATCCTTCTAGAAAGGTTAGCTTAACCCCTCTATATTTTTTATGTTTGGCAAATTATAGAGGCTTAACTCACTTTTTAATTCTTGTATAGATTTTTTATGTTTGGCGGGTTAAGAAGGGGTTAAGTCTCCTTAACCCCTTACTTAACCCTTTGCCAAACGGTACTTTAGTTTTTTCTATTAGACTGCCATTCAAGTTTTCAATGAAAAGTTTTTTTTTAATTATTGTTTGAATTTCAATTAGCTAGAGTATAAAAATTAATTTTCAACTATTACCATGAGATTCAGATGCATTGAAATGGATATTAATTAGTTGTTGAAACAAGGCTTCAATTTCGTTACAGGTACATTCAACAACTTATTGCATAAAGAAAATCAAAATCCAAACCAATAAAAATTACGCCCACTCAATGTGAGAGCATAAAATTGCACTCTCCACTCTCAAATTATGTTACGCTAATTACTTACTGACATCACTTTGATATCATTTGTAAGACACGTGTTTGTTTACATGACAAGACTATAGTTTAGAGTTAGAGCCTAATCGAATCGGGTTTGGTTGATAAGAGCCGGCTTGTACCCGAACCCGTTCCGGTGGCATCCACGATCACGGAGTTTGTGGAATTTTAATTAGGAGATGCAGTTAAACAGACAAAAGGCGCCCCCCACTTGCACATTCACGTTTCATCCGCTCCTTAATTGGAAAGTCTAATTTCTCTGTCTTCTCTAAAAAAAAAAAAGACAGAACCACCCTCCGATGAAACCAAACATTTTTTTTTCTCACAGGTCAAAAAAAATGAGAGGAAAATAAGCAGATAAAACGAACAAGGAATAGGGATTAAATCTATTTAATTAGAAGAGCATATTACTTTTTCTAAAGTCATCATTTTTTAAGAATGTGTGATTAGTATGATTTTTCTTATATTTTAGGTACGTTTCTCCTTTTTGTATTTCCGCATTTCAATGCGAAGAGAGGCTTAGGGGCTGTTTGTTTGCATAAAGGGGAAGGGGAAAGCCTGCCAAAAGTGTCAGTCTTGGCAAGCTTTCAACTCATTTCTCCCTCTAAAAGAGGCAACCGAACGCGCTCTTACTGCTTATTTGCACTCATATTATATATTCCATCACTTTTTAGTTTATGCCAAACCGATAGGAGGGTGGGTAGCTCAAAAATTTCAAGATACATAGTCACTCCCTTCGCTCGTCATTAGCTGGTGACAACTTAGGACAGCAGAATTTTTTTTTGGGGGGGCAAATAATGATGGTTTCTATCCACTCCTTTAATTATTTAAGCCTCTTAAAAGTACCAAAAGATGGCATCGCTAACAATAAAAATTAACAACGGTGAATAGTGAGATTCTCCCACTTCTATTTCTATGAGTGATTGCCAACTTGGCAACGTTTTACTCTCCTTTTCACAAAGGAATACTTTCTCGATCTGTTGCCTCCTAAAGAGTGACAACCTAACACATTCGCCAAAAAGAGAGGGGATTAGAGCAAGGTTACTAGGCATGTTTGATTCCCAAAGACAAATAATTCCAATGGTGTGAGATATAAGAGAAAGGAAAACTTTTCCCATATTTATTTAAGGAATATCTTAAAGATACACAAAGCCAAAAGGAAAATTCTACCTATCAATAATAATAAGCAACAAGATATCAACATATATCTGTATGGTCCATATTATATTATCAGCTAAAATATCAGATTAGCCTAAAAAGTGACTCATTTACTAGTTTAGCTTAAAAAGTAACATCGATGATACTTTAACCTAAAAAGTGATAAATCGGTAACGCATAAAGCCTTTTCAATTGTTGGATATAATTTTTAAGTAAAATATTGAAAGAATTTTACATTTAGACCCCATGAATCTCTCATATTTTTTCGAATTAACCTCTCTCCCTCCCTAGATTGTGAAATTTGTTAAACTAAATTAAAAAATATATATCCTCCCTTCCCACCATCTCCTCCCTCCTCTTTCCCACATCTCCTCCATTTTCTTCTTCTTCGTATCTCCAACTTTTCTTTCTTCCTTCCTCTCATTCTACCTCATTTTCATATCCTCACTCTTATGGTCTTATCTCTTTCCATTAGTTTCAAGCTCCTCTCAATCCACAGTCTATCTCATCTATCTCATATCTCTCACGCCTCTCTTTCCTTACTCTGCCCACTCCCAATCCCCAACATCAAATATTCTATAAAAAATTCAACCTCCTTAAACTCTTCTTCTTTCTTAATATTAATTGGAGGGTTAAAAAGAATTAGGAGGAGGATGTTAGATTTTTGATAAAATGTTTGATATTGAGGATTAGGAGTGTTCGGAGCAAGGAGAAAGAGTGAGTGAGAGAAAAAGGAAGAGGGAGTTGTAGAGAGGAAAAGGAGGAGAAGGAGGTAGAGAGGAAAAGGAGGAGAAGGAAGAGAGAGTGGGAGAAAGGAGAAAGATTGTGGATTGAGGCGGGCTAGAAAAAATGGAGGAGATGATAGAAAAGAGAAGATAAGACCATAAGAGTGAGGATGTGAAGAGGTGGTAGAAGGAGAGGGAGGAATGAGGAAATTTTGGGGATATCAAGAAGAAGAGAATGGAAGAGATGATGAGAAAGAGTATGGAGGAGATTGCGGGAAGGGAACTCTTTTTTTTTAAAATAACAAATTTCACAATGCATGGAGGGAGGGAGAGAGGGTTTACTTGAAAATTATGAGAGTTTTAGGGGTCTATATGTAAAAAAATTAATATTTTCATTTAAAATTATCTCTAGCAATCGAAAAGGTCTATGCGTCACCAACTTGTCACTTTTTAGGTTAAAGCGTCACTGGTGTTAGTTTTTAGGCTAAACTGGTAAAGAAATGTTACTTTTTAGGCTAATCTGATGTTTTAGTCTTTTATTATTAAATAAAAAGAAATTCAATTTATCATATCAAATGAAACTCAATTGAATTCATATAGAATTTATACTACTATATAAAAAACAGAGTTAGGGCAACTAAAAAATGAATGATTGAAGGACATTTACTCCTCGCCATTATGATTTCAAGGTAGAACTATAACTGTACAAAAGCATTTTCCCATTTTATTTTCTTCTCTCTCTTTTTCCTTCTTAAAGAACATTCTAGATTAAGTTCAATTACATGAAAAGAATGATGGATTAGCACATTCCTTACCATTAGGTTATAAAAGATACAATCTTTATTCAAGAACATTCTAGATCATATTCAATGACATGAATATTGAAGCATGCACACGTCATTATATTATAGTTTATAAAAGACATAAATATAAAGCATCAATGTATTAAAAAGGTAAACCTACTATTTTTTAAATCAAAAACAAAACCTTAAAATCATTATTTATACTACAGAAAATATTATTCATGCTACATAAATAAAAAAAATAAGCTTTCACAAAGATAGAATCTCAGTCTCAAATCCAAAACTATATTGGCACTGTTTAGCAACAAGAAATTGTGTCTTATCTAAGAGATTGTGTCTTATTGACTTGGTCTATAAGCTAGTAGAGCTGTTTGGTGACAAAAAATAGGAGGATCTTATTTTGGAGATTGTGTTTTTTGCAAGTAGCTTTTAGAAAGCTACCTCAAGCAGCGTTTGTCTTTGGGAAGGAGCTGCCAATTTTTTTCTTCCGTTTTTACCCCTAATAATTCTAATTTTATATCAATAATATTGCATGTTTTTTTATTCATTTAACAAATTTAAGCTAGTTGTACAACTACTTTTACCAAACAGCTCTAGTCAATCAGCTAGCTACACAGCTATCAGCTTTCAGCTACAATTTCACAGCTTTCAGCTATAATCTCGCAGTTTTCAGCTAGTTTTACCAAACAGATCCATTATTTATCACATTAACATGCACATAATTATAAAAAAAAGTCAAAAGGTATAAGGGCATTTTGGTCATAATCGCAGCCTCTTCAAATTGGTGTTGGTTTCAGCTCCACTGCTGCTCTTTTGTAACTACTTCCACATGATCAATCCAGTCTCTCCCTCTCTCTCTCTCTCTCTCTCCTGTTCTCCGTGGAACTGTCTCTGTCCTTTCCTCAGTCAAATTAAAAAAATCCTCAAAACTCAAAAAATTAAAATTAAAGCAATACAGCCAAAAGAGAGAAGAAAAAAAATGGGGAAGTGAAAGCTCAAAAGATCCCCATTCAAACTCTACCGAGAGAGAGAGAGAGAGAGAGAGAGAGAGCGCGATATTGAAGTCTTCAGCTTTCTGTTCTTTGTTAGCCTTGTAGTTGTTGTCAATGGCAGAGACCCTCCATTGCTTTCTCCATTCTCTACTCCTCTTCAACCTCCCAGCCTCCGTCCAGTTTCTCCAACTTCTCCTTCAGTGGCATCGGCCCCCCAAGGTACAGTTTTTTTCAAAATTTTTTGTTATAGATTTTGATTCGGGTAGGAGATCAAGTATCAATAATCTCTGTGTTTATACCCTTTTCCTTTCTGGGATTTTTTTTTGGTTTGGGTTTCTGCATCGTTGGGTGTTGTCAAAATAGAATATTTAAGAACTTACTGTTGAGTTTTTGCAATTATTGATGGACAATGATTCTACTGTTTTGATTCCCTCTACCGCGCTGATTCCCCTTTATTAGGTTTTGTACCTCGTAAATTATACCTCATGGCATCTTGGAAGAAACTAGTGCCCGCATTGTCTTTGATTCTCCAAGTTTCTGTAAAAGTGACATTTTTTTTTCATCTTCTTTTGGTATGATTTCAGATTGCACCCTTTTAGTGTTTTCCAGCTCAATTGATGAAACTATTTCGCTATTTTTTCCCCTTTTTTTGCATTCTGAATTTCTTTTAAATGCAATTCATTGGATCTTTACATTTTGTGTATGATCTGATCTCTAGCAGGAATCATGAAGCGATTTTTGCTAGTCAATTTCACCTATGTTTGAATTTACTTTCAGCATTCCGTATTTTCTTAGCTGAGATCTCACACAACTTTTATGATTCAGTGATGCAGATATTAGTGATTTATGAACACCACCATTTGGAAAAGCAATTAGTTCTGGCAATTGTCCTATCTTCAGTTGCGGTAGCTCTGATCTTTCTATCGATTTTTGTGGTCTGGATCTTTTGGCGAAGGAATCAAAATGACCCCGAGAAAAAGACTGCTCAAGGCTCGGGTACTTTCTTTGATAAAACCCATTTTCTACACCTTCTCGCCTTCGAGCATGTGAATTTTACTCTAGTGGTGTGTCGAATTTTACCTGATGCAGATACAAGTAGAGGAATCACGTTAGGCCCAATCTTGAGCAAGTTCAGTTCTTTCAATACGGCAGGCAGAAAACCTTCACTTGCCATGGTGGAGTATTCGCTGTTAGAATCCGCAACCAATAATTTCAGTGAGAGTAATATCCTTGGAGAAGGGGGCTTTGGGTTTGTTTATAAAGCTTGCTTCGATGGGGGTTTTCTTGCTGCAGTAAAGAAGCTAAATGGTGGTAGGCAAGATTGTGAAAGAGAGTTCGAGGTAATTTTTCATAAATCCTGTTGTGAGGAACTTATTATTTGTTCAATGTTTATCTCATTTCAATTGTAGGGCTCATACTCAGGATTTCATTGCAGAATGAGGTAAATTTGCTGGGGAAAATTCAACATCCAAATATAATTTCTTTGTTGGGTTATTGCCTTCATGGAGAAATGAGATTCCTCGTATATGAGTTGATGCATAATGGATCTTTGGAAACACAATTACATGGTATGTACTTTTCTATAGCATCTTATAGCTGATTGAAGTGAAGGGAATTAGCGTCTGAAGTAATTTGTGAGTTTGGTTTCTGTCTCAGGACCATCTCATGGGTCAGCTTTAACTTGGCACATTCGGATGAAAATCGCACTAGATGCAGCAAGGTTAGCAGCCTGATTCACCATCTTCTGTGAGACATTGACTTTAGTTTATTTGTAAATTTCTACATTGTTGTTAAGCAGAGGATTAGAGTATCTACATGAGCATTGCAACCCACCTGTGATCCATAGAGATCTGAAATCATCCAATATTCTTTTGGATTCAGAATTTAATGCCAAGGTATTTCCATTTTTCAAACTGAAATAAAAGCTAGTTGAATTTTAATTTTGAGTTTAAATCTTTCACGCTCCCCTGCTCAGAAATGACCTTATCCTTTTTATGTTTCTTGATACAGATTTCAGATTTTGGCCTTGCAGTGACTGGTGGTAACGAAAATAAAGGCAATATCAAGCTTTCAGGCACTCTTGGTTATGTAGCTCCAGAGTATCTTCTAGATGGTTAGTCTAATAATTCCCTCTTTCTTTCTTTCTTTCTTTCTTTCTTTTATAATTAAAGGAATCAAATTCATGCTTCTGCTTACAAAAACCTGTTGGAAATTTATCAAATAAATAAAGATTATAGCATGAATTTAAACCCGGAAATTAAATAAATAATACATCAAAGATAGATAATATAAATTAGAGAAACAGGCCTGACGGGAGCAGTCGTGTAAACACTGCCCTAGAAGATTGAGGACCCGCCTATCGCCCTGGCGCAGATGATCCCTTCTCCCCTAGCGGTAAAAACCCCCGGAAATGGCCCGGCCTCTGCACTCGGGCGAGAGTGCAGAGCTTCAGCTCAGATGAAGAAGTTGCCCATAAAGTAAAACTAAAGTATAGATAAAAATGATATGTAGAGGAGAAAAGAAAACAAGATAAGTTTTTCACATTTTTCCATATGTTTCTTGAGCTCAACATATGTTGTTTATATAGGGGTTGAAAAGAGCCGTTATAAAATCTCTCAATAAATTCCGTAACGTTCGTCATAATGTATAGTCATTATGCCCATTTTAATTACAAATTAAAACACATTAAAACATATTTTAATTGCATATTTTAATTACAAAAATTTATTAGAATTCATTAAGGCAAAATTGCCTTTTCTTTAAAAATATCCAACAGTCCCCCCCAAAAGGCAATATTGACTGAAAAAATAAATTAATAAATCACAAAATGAAAATAGGTTGGGCAACCTATCGTATCGTGAATTCGGGAAAGGTAGCTTTCGGCTTTGAACCTTTCCTTAGTGAGTTCATCGCCACCTGAGGGACATAATGGACTAGGCCTTGAATTAGGCCCCTTTAATCAGGTATTGATGAAAACACACACAATACGCTTCATCTATTGAGCAAAGCGGGTTGAGCGTTAAAGGCCATGCTCACAAAAAACCGACTCATGAGAGTTTCTAGGGGTTAGCCCAGCCCCCCCTAACCGCGGCCATCACGGTTCCTCTCACGTAGGTAAGTCCTCAAAGGGTACTACAGCTGTTTATTTAATACCCCCCACAATACACGCGTTGGACTTATTAAGAGTAAAACTCAGCCTAGCCAGCTGTATCATAAGAGCATCGTCATCATAGAGAAGGGGTAGTAGCAAATGCTACATAATGATATATAAATATATCTAGGTCGATGCTCCACACGAGTGTCACTAGTCCAGCTTGTTTCTACCACATTGAACCGACATTGGGACTACGTCTCCAAATAAGGGTTGGGTTGCCGCTGTCAGTGACCTCATCTATGGGCTTAACCTCATCTCCCTCGATGAATCCAGAACCACACTCCTGGATAATCCCTTAGTCAAAGGGTCATCAAGATTCTTTTCACAGACTTTACAAAGTCTAGAATCATAACTTTGCCTAGCAGGCGTTGTATTTATTTATCAAGTTCTTATTTTGTAATTAGTCCATCATATTGTTTGAAGTTGACATTAGGTCATGATCTATGATCATAAAAGATCATAGTCTATGTCTGAAGAGATTGACCTTAATATCTGAACATTTCAAACTAATGTGGAACTAAAAATTCTGCAGTTATGCATATGCACATACATGAATGAAATTAATAATATATACATGCAAAGCATAATAGGATTTTGTATCTTAAAATATATTTTCGTATCTTAAAATATATTTCATACTTCATAATTCAAATGCATAAAATTTTTAAAATTCTTCTATTATAAGAGGTTACAATTGGTTGCCTACAAAGGAGACCGTCCAAATTTAAATCGGTTGCCTACAAATGAGACCTTCCAAATTTAAATTGGTTGCCTACAAGTGAGACCTTCCAAATTTAAATTGGTTGTCTACAAAAGAGACCTTCCAATTTTATGTTGCCATTTTCTAGTACCACCTCTTATACAAATACAAATAATAATAATAATTGTACATACGTGCTTTAAAATTTTCAAGTGCATTCTTGCATAAAACCTTGCAATTAATCATGTAACAAATGCAAGTTATCCAAAAGATATATGAACATTTATTGTAATATCCATCATAATGCAATAAAAGAGATGAACTTTACATTTGAAGATTTGAACAATATCCATCATAATGCAATAAAAAGAGATGGAATTTACATTTAAAGATTTAGAATATAATCCACCATATAAAATAGAATTTTAAAAAATGCACCTCTTTGATTTGTTCGCTCATATATTGATCATTTATCATTAGGCAATATATGATGCAAGAAGCGTAATTAAATAAATGCATATGAATTTTCACATAATTCCGTTCCTCTTATTCCAAACCAAAAACTCCTAAAGTGAAAAGATTAAAGTTTTACCCGGGTAGTTAGCCAGGTAAGGATAGTAATAGAGGTTGATCAAAGATCAATTAAGTACCTCGTTCCTTGCAGAGCGCGTTACGCAACCCTTAAACCTTGCCTTAGACACCAACTAATCCAAGAAAACTTGAATCGGTTCACTCAATGAGTTTTTGTTCCTTAACAGTATATAGAAACTTTAAATTATTTCATGCAAGCATTTAATTTGCTAAGCAATTATAATGCAAACATATATTGGATAAGGCCGATGAGGGGTTTACCTATTGATGTTCGAACCTCATGATTTTCATGTCTTGAGAGTAAAACTCATCTGCTGCAGACAGCTGCCACTTAAGTTGCTGAACAAATCTGCATTCACTTTTACCACCTTCTGTACTAAGCTTATTAGATGCATAAATACACTAATGTATGAAATTATTAATAGAAGGCATCATATTATTGATAGCTTAAAGAAATAAAAGTATTAAACCATGAACAAATCCAGATATTTCAAAGCATCTATTTTGTTTTCTTTATTCTTGTCAAAACCATGCATATGAGACTTTCAAACATAAATAAGTATTAAAAGCTCAAATTATTTATTGGTGATCATCAACGTTCAAATACAGAGCATATTCACTAGCACAAGGGAATAAGGGTAGGCTTTAGATGATTCTAACAAATATAAACTAGGCTTTTAGAAACCAATAAAGGTTCTTTGATATTCGTAACTTACAATAATTATTGATTATAAATCAACTATAAGACAAATGTAATTAACTGTTAAATTAAATTAACAGAAATATTTAGCTACAATTTTTTAATTATTAATTTTTTTTAAAAAAAAAATAACCAAAACTGTTTACATGAACAGTAACTTTAAAATACTTTCAGATTTAAATCAAAGCTATAAACTTCTCAATCTTCTAGATTGTTGGAAATTTATCAAATAAATAAAGATTATAGCATGAATTTAAACCCGAAAATTAAATAAATAATACATCAAAGATAGATAATATAAATTAGAGAAACAGGCCTGACGGGAGCAGTCGTGTAAACACTGCCCTAGAAGATTGAGGACCCGCCTATCGCCCTGGCGCAGATGATCCCTTCTCCCCTAGCGGTAAAAACCCCCGGAAACGGCCCGGCCTCTGCACTCGGGCGAGAGTGCAGAGCTTCAGCTCAGATGAAGAAGTTGCCCATAAAGTAAAACTAAAGTATAGATGAAAATGATATGTAGAGGAGAAAATAAAACAAGATAAGTTTTTCACATTTTTCCATATGTTTCTTGAGCTCAACATATGTTGTTTATATAGGGGTTGAAAAGAGCCGTTACAAAATCTCTCAATAAATTCCGTAACGTTCGTCATAATGTATAGTCATTATGCCCATTTTAATTACAAATTAAAACACATTAAAACATATTTTAATTGCATATTTTAATTACAAAAATTTATTAGAATTCATTAAGGCAAAATTGCCTTTTCTTTAAAAATATCCAACAAAACCAAACTCTGTACTAGAGAAATAATGAATTTCTGAAAAACCAGTTGATTCATTAGATGATTTACGAAAAAGAGGTAAATTACACATTAATTCGCTAAAGTCTCACTTGCTTTGTTTCTGGGAAAAATTAAAGCTTCACATACTTTACTTTTCTGTGCTAGGGAAAGGAAGTGAACTATTTATTGAGCTAATGTGTACTTAAAAAATATATTGAAAAATTGAAATCTAAAGGCAATGATGGTGTGATGATAGAGGTAGAGTTAATAGGTTCAATTTTGAGAAGATAGAAATTGGCCAACTAAGAGGAGCAGTTGCGATGAAATTCAGTAGCAGATGGAGTTGGCTTTTACAGTTGAATTTAGCGGGAGAAATGATGGCCTTGGAGGGAGATGAAGAGAAAAGACGGTCATATGACTTCCACTGAAAAATATATATATTCAAGGTGGTAGTAGGTTGTAAAGTGAAACTTTATGGTCATTATCTGTAGACAAATCTCAAACAAGGCATTTATTTGTAAAGGAAATGTTAGATCTATGCCACAAAATAGTCCAGAATAGGATGACTTCCACAGCATGAATCCCTTTATTTGTAATTTTTTTCCAGTTTGACTTTCTGGATACCAGTTATATAACCAAAGCATAGAGATAGAAGGGGTATGTTATGCAACGATTTTTCACTGAAGAACGTAGAAATCTATGTTAGGTAAGATATTGAGATCTAGAATAGCATAATCTTTGAGCTATTTGTACAATCATTAGCGATGCTTTGAGGCATCAACACTACAATCCACATCGATTACATCGTATTGTATATTTGTATTGTATGCATCTGTAATCTCTATTTGTTCTACTCAAAACCGATCCATACTGTCTAATGACCAATATAAACCAAGATTCCAGACCTTACATTTTAACATAGCTCCATTCCTCCATTAATTTGACTTTGACTACAACAGATTTAGGGATTTTGGCTACTGAAGATTTAGGGATTTTGTGTATATTCATCATTCATGTACTAGGAACCCAGTGGAAAGGTACTATATGGACAATGATTTCTATTTACTAATTTCCTGGAGTACAGGCAGTCCAGAATCACCGAAAGGTGGCTGTAGTTAGCCAATTCGTTGTCTATGGAAGTGCACACACTTGTTATTGTCCTCTTTTACCATTTAGTTCACACGATATCTATTTTTACTTGTTCAGGTAAACTCACAGAGAAAAGTGATGTTTATGCCTTTGGAGTAGTTCTTCTCGAGCTTCTCATGGGAAGAAAACCAGTCGAGAAACTGGCCCCATCTCAGTGCCGAACTATAGTTACATGGGTGAGCATTGCCCATGTTTGAAAACCTACATGTATACTCCAAACTCCTAGTCTCCAATGCGTTAGTAACAAATTTTATATTTTGCAGGCCATGCCTCAGCTAACAGATCGATCAAAGCTACCAAACATTGTGGATCCAGCAATTAAAAACACAATGGATTTGAAACATTTATACCAAGTCAGATTCCCTGAACTTTAGTCCCATATCCTTATTCATTATTGTCTTCTTCTAATTTGAGTGTCATGGTTCATACAGGTGGCAGCTGTTGCTGTGCTTTGTGTTCAACCTGAACCCAGTTATCGCCCTCTGATAACTGATGTCCTTCACTCTTTAATTCCGTTAGTACCTGTAGAGCTCGGGGGTACACTTAGAGTTTCTGACCCATCCAGGAGTCCAAAAGTTGAGTTCTGACTGAATAAATATTGTCCCTGTTGGAAACCTGCAGCTGAGTATGGTGTTCATTTCCACGTAGTATTTCAGTTTTCGAGCTTAGTTGAGATAGCAGATTATAGGAGAGCTCATTTGCTTCAGAGGAAAAGTCCTTTTCCTGAATTGTTGTTGTAAAAAAGAAAAAAGAAAACAAGAGTTCTAAGGGGGTTGCTCTTTTTGCTCCTTAATGTTATATTTGTAAATACACGGTTTTAAGACATTTGCTGAGAGGAAAATTTTGGAGAAATTTAGCCGACTTTGGAGATGATTGGTAGATAATGAGTTTATTAGTTGATAACCTCGATCCTTTTAGCAAATAGCTGGTGCAATTTGGATAAGCAGGAGAGCCCTTTGGAGAGATGGTATCTAAGATTGCTTTGTTATATACCTGGAACCTAAAGTACTCAGTTGTCATAATTGTATGCCAGTATTTTGAGAAACCAGATATACTTCTCTAGTTCTCTGGATTCACTTTATGGTTATTTAAAGCTTCAAGTTATTTCATCACGTCAACAACATCATCGACTAGAAACCCAGATACTGAAATTTCAATATTATCTGTTATGTATATCTTGTGTTTTGTTCATGCAATTGCTTCTGTGTTTTCAGTTCTGACATTTTAATGGAAGGGTAATTGAATCCATTACATTTGGGGAGGCACTATGCTCATCGGTGTGGATTAGTTTCGCAAATACTGTTTAGTGTCTGGTTCTTTGATGAGTATGATAACTTTACATTTCCGACACATTAAATCATCAAACTGTCAAGACATCAGTTCACCTTTGAATTGCCCTGTGATATTAGGTAAAAGGTGTCAATCTTATATTATCAGTTAAATGTCCTCGCACCAAAAATGCGATACATCATTGATCTAGTAACCGACAGTATGAGGACTTCATCGGCTATATTACAATTTGATGATCACTAGCGGATATGAAGCCGATAAATGAGATGCAAAATACGCAAATTCTTGCACAAACTTCAGCATTCAGTGCATACTACAGAGGGAATTTCACATAAGAATGATAACTTCCATGCTTAACTGCATCCAGTTTACACTATTTTTAGGTTTTGACACTTTTCTTTGCCAAGAACAGTTATTTTATTTTATTTTTGTTCTGCTGCATCATTTCATTACGCAGGTTTGTATTTCTCTAGCCAATAGTACTTCACTCAGTAAAAAATTCAGGAGGTGATTGAGATTAACTTCAGGTAGTGTCAGCTGATGAGATGAATATATGGTAGTTGCTTAATTAGATTCCCAGTAAATAAAAGGATAGAGTTTGGATTATTTCCTTTTTCTTATGCGATACTGGAAAGGTTTTTTTTTTTAAATTTATCCATTTATATGTAGGATGGCTAATAGTTCGCTGTGATTAGAACAATAATCCTACGTCATTGTCCTATGAGTTTTATATATTTTATTTTAAATAAAAAATATTGTCTAAAAAAAATAAAAACATAATTAAAATTAGATGTCGCGGTAATATCTTTTTTGGCAAAAGGGAAATTTTGGTTTGGGGAACTCCTCACACCACGAGATCCAACTTTTTTGTTGGGAAAACCCCTGGGGTGTTCGCACCGGACAGTGCGAGACTTCTCATGACAATTTACCATAAAATTTTCCATTTTTATGTTTTTTGTATTTGTATTATACCTGCGCTATAAATTTTATAAAATGGTCAGAATTATTCTTTATTTTATCTTTAATTAGGAGTATTTTAAGTTTTGTTTTCTTTTCTATTGCTTGCATTGAAAAACGTGAAGGATGCTCCCAGGTCATAGAAAATAGATCTGTGACCTACGTGCAGCCTTTTTGTAATGCTCAAACCCTGTGCAATTTGATTGACTTCCAAATGCTCAAGACCTGTGCAATTTGATTTTTATGGCCCAAGTAATGGATGGCCCGATTTAAAAAAAAAAGTCAAATATGTTGCCAATATATCCTTTCACTGTATGCAGACAATATAAGTCTACATTTCTAAAAATGATATAGATGTTTGATAAAAATGACTGCAATCCAGAACATGTATAATGATATTTATACTTGGAAAGAATGATAACAATCCTGAAAATGATATAGATGTTTGATATTTAGTAGTATTTACCTTGATATCAAAAATAAAGATAGAGGGTCCGAATTCAAAAGTCACCTATTCAGATTTCAAATTTCAGTCTATTATTTTTATAAAAATGACTACAGTTCAAAACAGGTATAATGATACTTATACTTGGAAATAATCATAACTATCCTAAAAATGATATAGATGTTTGATATTCAGTAGTATTTACCTTGATATGAAAAATAAAAATAGAGGGTCCGAATTCAAAAGTCACCTATTCACTTTTATAATCTCACGCTATGATGAAAGGAATTTCTGATACTTAATTAGTTGTATATGCCTTAGGAGGGTTGATTTTTTTTTTTTTTTTGAGATTTTCTAATCAAGGAAACAAAATCTATCTACCAAATAATTGATGTATATTATCCTTGAATTCATATTATAAGCATCTATACTTATGCATAGGATCCTTGAATCCTTGAAGGCAAAAGAGGTTTTTTCCCGTGCTCTTGTAGTTCACGCACACATTCACCTTTTTCTGGTAAGAAACTCATTCGCTTTAATTAAGGCAACTACTAATGGGCTCGGAACCGACAGCTGTCCAATTAAAAGCCTTAGTCTGGCCCACTATCCTCATTTCTCTTCGCTTCCCTACATACGTCACACTTGGTACCCACCACTCTACAAGCAGTAGCCTAGGACTTGGAGAGAGATGCGAACGTCAGCACAAAATGTTTTGCACGAAATACTTTAAAATTTGTAAAAATAAGGAAAGCCAACAGCTTCAGAATAGTAATTAAAATCTGGAATTCACACTCTCTAATCTCCAAAAAAAATAAAAATAAATACTACAACAACCAAAATTTGAGTCCCGAAACTAGTTTACAAAAATAATAATTAAAATCCAGAATTCACACTCTCTAATCTTCAGAAAAACATTAGAGACCCGAATTTGAGTCTCAAATCTAGTTTTGTAAAAAGTTGACGCTTTCATGTGTAGTTATTAATTAAACTTAAACTTGATCATCTTCTTCCCCAATTCATTTATCAAAAGACCTTGTTTGTTCATTAAAACCATGCTGACTTTACCTCGTCTTCCATCCTTTTGTATCGTCCCTTGTTTAATTAAGACAAATGAAAAATTACAAAAAAAATTAACTTTGAGTTGCGATGATTATACTAGCTTTCTATAATATACGGAAGAAATTTGTGTGCAAAGGAAGGATGTAGATATTGGTTTTGGGTACACTTAACAACCCTAAAAATTAACATATTGTAACACACACACACACACACACACATACTCCTTAGCCTAAAAACTAAAAACCAATATCATCCAATGGCTAGGATTCAGTCAAACAGTCAACAGACACTTGCATTAATTACCTCATTAAACACATGCATTAATTATCTCAACGCAGTGAATCCAGATTCACTACAGTGATTCCAGATTCACTACAGTGATTCCAGATTCATTACCTTAACGAACACGTTCTTCACTGCAGTGAATCCAGATTCATTACCTCAACGAACACGTTTTTCACTACAGTGAATCCAGATTCACTGCAGTGAATCCAGATTTATTTTCGTTGAGGTAATTAATGCATGTGTTTGTTGACTGTTTGACCGACTCCCAGTCATTGGATTCATCTAGATCCAATGAATGATATTGGTTTATATATATATATATATATATATATGGGAAAAGTGAATCTAAGGTGACACCCTAGGCTCCCACCTAAGGACGCGGCCTAGAATCACATCATTTCCTAAATTTTTTTTTGCGATCCGCTCCGTTGAAATTGATCTACACGTTCTTAAATCCAAACACACCAATTTTGGGGTGAACCCGTCGTGTTTTGACCCTTTATCCACTCGCTGCAATTTTTACGGTTTCGAATGAATAGAACTTTTTGCACGGCTCAACGAATGGTCAAAACACAACAGGTTCACCCCAAAATTGGTGTGTTTGGGTTTAAGAATGTGTAGATCAAGTTCAACTGAGCGGATCAAAAAAAAATTTAGGAAATGATGTGATTTTAGGCCGCGTCCTTAGGTGGGAGCCTAATGCTTCGAATTATCATTTTAGTAAAAACATTAGTATATGTTTTTTAAGTATATAGTTAGATTAGAATTATCCTTTTAACTTTTAACTCTACCCCACCGAACTCGGAGGCGTTTAAATTATTTTTTAAAGGTCAGGAGTTTGGTGGTGATTTATAAATTTTAAAAAGGCTTTTATGCAAAACCCCCTAGGTGTTCAGCGGGTTTAAGGAAGGAATTTTGATCCACGATTTCCTGTGGCGTTCTTTCTACGCGGTCACATCTATGGTTTCTGCGTGGACCCCACGCACTCCCCGGAGCTAAGACTTTCGTACGCTATTAAAGTCTTTGCTCGTGCTCGAAGCCTCTCAATCGACGCCAACCAAAAACTTTTGACTGTCACTTTACTCTCCCTCGCTCGCTCTCGATCGTCGCCATGGAGTCGAGCTCTCAGCATCCTCGGAATCCAATCAAAGATCCAAGGACCATCGCCAGGAAGTAAACACTCCTCCTCCCGATTTCATCTAGGGGCCGGGTTACTTTACTCTTCCAATTTAATTTGGTTTCTTTTTGATCTGCTTAGGTATCAGCTCGATCTTTGCAAGAGAGCGGTTGATGAGAACATCATCGTCTATCTGGGGACGGGGTGTGGGAAGACTCACATCGCAGTTCTCTTGATGTACGAGCTCGGCCACTTGATTCGAAAGCCCAGCAGCAGCGTCTGTGTCTTTCTCGCTCCCACTGTGCCGCTCGTTCGTCAGGTCGCGCTTCCCTTGTGGTTTATTTTTTTTTTAAAATAAAAATTGAATTTTGATCTGTTTTGTCTGTTAAAGGTCCGGTTTTTTTTAGTTGTGCGCGAGAAGGTATTTATTGTTTTGCGAGTCACCTTGATATATCAGATGTGAGGAAACGATGAAATCAACCAAGTCCGAAAGTGCTTCGTCTTTCTTATAACTAAATATTTCTGCTAGAATCAGTTCACTGGGGGTGAAGACACATTCTTCTTTTAGCAGTGAAGATGACTGCAAACGTTACTTTTTGAATATCAGTGGAATGTCCCTACTTATTGTCTGCTTGTCATGAGTCACGTATCTTACCAAATCTCCTTTGCTTCTTATTATGAAGGTTTGAAGTTTCAGACGATTTAATACACATCGTCTGCGACATGTTGGATCTTGAGGTTATTGTCCACACCATTTTGGATGTTAAGGACGCCAAACTGTTCTCGATGAAATTGAGTGGTATTGTGGAATTACCATGTTGGTAACTATTTATAAAGACTGATATTCACCAATGATCAATACTTGAGGTTTTAAATTGAAATTGTTGATTTGAGAGTGTGATATTCGGAAATGGAAGAAGAAATATTGTGACAGAAGTAACTTTATTCCATATACTGTAATTTCAAATGGGAACTGCTGATACTAGCGAAGCTGCATCAATACCGAAACTGTCAACTAGAGATCTAACCTTGATCTTAATATTAGTTGTGATCGTGGGGGACAGGGGGGCCCACCCACGCCGCTTGTCCTTGTGCGGACGAGCTCTCGTCGTGAGCTCGCACCCGTG